GCTCCCAAAAGCTAAAGCATATTCATTCATAATAGAAAAACAAAATCTTCTAAGACCAAGCTTTCAAAGAATCATGTAGTTTTTTCCCCCCTATAGCACCCAACAAACAGACACTGAGTGATATTTGCCCCTGTTGGTCTAAAGAGAACAAGTAAACCACACCATGCTCGCAATTCCATTGCCACCATTCTAAGAGCTACCATTTATTTCATCCCCAAAAGAATAAAGGCCATTCCCTGACGATTTCTAGTCAGAAGGTACCAGGTACCAGGTACCAGAAAAGAAGATAGTTAACAGATGAAGCATCTTCCTTGCAGATCAACACCGTTACGAAACAAAAAGTGACACAACTTTTCCTTAAATTTCAATGATTAAGACCATTTTTGCAAGGCACTTCACAAGACAAAACTACTAACTTGCCAGCAACACCAATCTTTCATATGATCTTCCAGGTGAAGGTCTCAATGTTCCTCACCCATCATCTTCAACTCAATGATTCTGAGGTACGATTTCACATTAAAAACCTCAGTTGCTTCAGGTCTCCGTACCACTTCATCTTTCTTGACTAATTCCAAGGGAAACTCATATTTTACAACATCTTCAGAATGAATAACAACAATAAAAACCTATCATCTGCTTGGACTGGACCTCTCCATTTTGCACAATCAGATCAAAAACACATTTATAGAGACAACCTCCTCATTCCAAAGGTGTTGCTTGGTCACTGAAGTCTGAGGCCTATCAATATTGAGCATAATGGGCTCCTTGGAGATCAGAACCCTTGCTCTCTGGGATTCCCATAGCAAGTGGAGAAACAGCTATTTTTCCCTTTTGTTTGATATTTTGGATAAAGCAATCGGCCAAGTCCACCAAAAGAATATAGTGAACCAATATGCTTTCGGTACTAGTATGCTAGATAAATGATGTAACCATGAAACCTGGCCTCTTTCCAACTAGGGTTAAATAAAATTGATGGTGGAAAATGGCAATCTAAATGCTACTTTTTCTGTCAATCTACTGCCTTATGAACATCAGACCTGAGACCAGATATGAATCACGAAAAATTGTAAATTCCAAGCACAAAGAAGGAAAAAAGGGGCTCCTGATAAGCAGAAACGAGGAAGGTACATTGAAACCCTTGCAAACTCGGCATAAATCACCAAAAGTGAGGAGCAAACCGAAATAATACCCCTTACAAAGCAAACAACCGACAACTAAAGACAAGCCAAAAGTCATGAACCTTACGAAACCCATCAGATCAGTTCTTCAACCCTCTCAGCTCAACTTCACACATAAAAGTTAAGGACATAAAAATTAAGAAGGAAAGAACTGAAAATTAATTTTCCAAAAAATTGAATACCAATACCGGGGAATATTAAAAGTACCCACCTCCATCCCAAGGAGTGTCATCAGGCCTAGAAAATCCAGAAACAGAAACGACGAACGAATATCAAAACAAAAAAACCCAATCAAAAGCAGAAATCAAGAAAATAAAGGGGGGAAATAGAAAATTAAGATATGGAAATACCCAAAAATTACAGCGTTCCAGAGCATAATGTTGTTGTCCTGAGGAGCACCACTAATTCCAGCAGGCGGATCCAGCTGGAGCCTCTTGAAATCCCTCATCAGCCTCTTCCTAGCTGATGTCGACATCTTTCCTGACTTTCACTCCACAGTCAGAGGAACAAAGATCCCTAGTGCGAGAGATAGAGGGAAGAGGAGCAAGAGATCTGAGGATATATCAAGAAGGATCAAGGTGAAAGAGAAGGTAGAAAGAGGGGTTTTCTTGCTTCTGCTGTGTCTCCCGCAAGAGCGTCTAACCGTATTTCTTATTTGTTCGTCTAGTAGAGATGTGTGAACTTCTTATTCTGGATTTATAAAAAGAAGGAAAAAAAATAATAATATATATATATAATTATGTATATACGTATAGGTTCTGTCAATAATTTTTAGAAATTAATAATTTGATTTTTCCATATAGTATTTTTTATTTTAGAAAGTAATTCAATCATTTTATTATTTATCCTCCCAAAAAGTTAATATATATCTTTTTTATAAAAAAAGTTAATACATTTTCTTATTTTCTTTTATTTATTATATTTATTAAAATCATATAATCTCAAACAAAATTATTTATTATATTATTATTTAATTATTTATTGTCAGTGATATTTTTTAAATTATTATTTATTGTATATTAAAAATTTTATGATTTTCTACAAAGACTTACTGTTATTTTTCAAAAAAAAAAATTAAAAAAAAATTCTACATCTAATTGTAATATAAAAAATGTCTTGTAATTACCCTTAATTTTTAGTAAATTAAAATATTGCATTTAATTATTGTTATATAATATTCTTCTATTATTATTATTTTCCTTTACATATAAATTAAATCTTTTTGTATTTTTCCAAAAAGATTTTATTTATGCATTGCCATTGGTTATAAGTGATCTTGGAATCTAAATTTCCTTCTCTAAGTCTTACGAAAGAATATATATATATATATATATATATATATATATAAACTCTACAAGGCAAGAAATTTCTTAACTCAAGTACTCTAATGCTCATGTTGGTTTACTAGAGAGAAGTGAAACACACACATATATATATATATATCTTTAGTAAATAGATGGAAAAAAAATTATGTTTGGAGTTAGATACTTCTCAAAACTATACCAACACTTTTGCCACTAACATTCACTCACGTTTTGGTGGTCCGAAGTTGTATGCTACGTTCAGAAAGAATGAATCAATCGCTTCTAAAAAAGAATCTCTATTGAGTCTCTTCTAATTAGTTAAACTGTAGATGCGTTGATTTATTTCACGGATGAGATCTTTAGTTCAAATTCAGGATGACCCAGCTGCACCAAGAAAAATAATAGAAAAAGCATATAATTTCTTCACGTATGCTTTACTTAGCTCAGGGGGAATATAACTCAGTTGGTAAAGTTTCACTCTTGCAATTGGGTTATTAAGATTATAGATTTGGTGTCTAATTATCCAAATAGTAATGATAGTATCTTGTACTTAAATTAATGTTTTATTTTTTTTTTACGCAATAGGAAAGAGAATCGAAACATATTATTGAAAGATTTTATCGAAACAAAAATGAGCTGTCAAGAACGTAGAGGAGATAGTATGATCAGTGAGTCAGATATAGTATGAATGATACATGTATGGTAATTATTACACTCGCTCATCTTCACATAAATTCTGCACAAAGTTCCCACAAAATAATGATAAGCCATCAGAACTAAGGGTTGGATGTGAACATGCAATAACATTCAGCAAAAAGAGAGAGCATGCATGGTTAGCATACAAAATTGAAGGTTTCAAGATAATCTCGACTAACAAACTAGAATATTACTTCTTCTAAATGAACAAGTTTATTTATTGCACTTGCTATGAGAATCCTAACCTACAAGTCCTCTGATAGAGCCTCCGACATAGCAAAAGTATAACAACCAGGGACAAATCTCCAAGCAAAATAATTTACAATTTTCAACAAATAGTGTAATCAGAAATAAAACATATAGTTACCTTAGATCCAATTGGAAATCTAAAAAACAAACAAATTAAAAGCTTTGGCCTGTAATATAATATTCAAACACCATACAATTATACATGAAGTACTTGGAGATTTTTTATCCTTTTAAATTACATTAATAGGTTGAAAGAATTCGTTTATCCATGGTTGAACTTTTTATTTTTCTATACAATACAAATTTGAGTTCGATTACTCGTCTCTCGCGTCTTCATTATAAAGTTGTATTGTATTTAATATGTATCTGCTCTGTAACTAACGAAATATATAAAATTTTGTATTGTATTTCTTTTAGGTTTTCAAATAATGTTGTAGTTGTTTCATATGGATGACATTCGCAGTTTAATTGTTTAGTTGTTAAGAATTTAAGAAAGTTTAATATTATTTTTGTTTTAATTTATTTAAATTTATAATTGTCTTTTGAGGTTGTTTGTATTTCTAGTTCAATTTCATTTGCCATATTTTGTTGTTGCCAAACTTTGAGTTAATTATTTGTTTGGTGTGAAATTTGAAGAGTTGAAATTAATTTTTGATTTAGTTTGTTTGTAATTGTATTTGAATTTGATCTTGTGACTGTAGTGTAGTTATAAATGCAAAAAAAAAAAAAGACACAAATAACAAAAAAAATGCTACTAAAATAAAAAATCACAAATAGAAAAAAAATGCTACTGGAATGAAAATTATCTAAGATAATCATAATTAAATAAAGTTAAGCGTAATATGACACTAGTACCTCATAATTGAACAAGTTAACAATACTTGAAAAAGAAAACAAAACACAAATAATACGAGTGGACGCACTTCAATTAAATGCCGAAAATGTTACATAGTAATAGAATATGAATAGTTTAAACTGGCCGAATAAAAAACAAGCATGTTGGATATGTGGTTTTACCTGATTTTTGCATTTTGAAATCGACTAAGTAACTAACAAAAGTAGAGAATCAAATTGTGAATAACCAAGATATTTCTATGCATATCAAAACTGAAAAATTAAAATAAAAAAAAATCACTAAAACCATCAAGACAAACATTAAAATAAGACAATTTTATTTAAAATAAGTTTAAGTTTATTTCTTAAGTAAACAAAGAGAAATTTATTAAGTAAACAACGCTGAATTTTTCAACTCATAATCATTTCATTTTATGCAAATATGTCATTAGTTTATTTTTTAAAAAAAATTAAAAATGTTACGGTTGTTCTGTATGCATAGTTGTTGCGGGTTAATTGTTTATTTATTGAAAATTTTAAAATTTTAAATTGATTTCTGGTTTAGTTTACTCGGATTTATAATTGTCCTTGAGCTTACTAGTAATTATAGTTGAATTTAATTTTGTAATTGAAGTTGTAGGTCATTTATTGTAACTTGTTAGTATCGTGTTTGAGTTGGATGTTTGTTTCTTGAAAAATTTGAAGAGTTGAATGCGATTTTCGTTTAACTTACTTATATTTGTACTTTCATTTGAATTTGTTTGTAATTACATTTGAATTTAAGTACGTAATTATAGTTAAATTCTTTTATTTTAGTTTGTTATAATTACCTCGAGTTAATTGCTCGTTTGTCTTGAACTTCGGAAAGTTAAATGTTAATTATTGTTTTAATTTACTTGGACTTGTAATTGTTTTTGAATTTTTGTTGAACTGTATTTTTAAATTTCAGTAATTATAATTTATTTGTTTAGTTTGTTTTCTCAATTTATGGTTCTTTTTGTATTCTGTTTTATTTGGTTAATGTTTTAATTTAATTGGCTGATTGTTGCACTATTATTTTTTAATTATAATCATACTCCAGTTGGTTAATGTTTGAACTAGTCAAAATAGGATAATGTACTATATTTGCAGTTGCTACATAAAATATTGAATAAATACTAAAATTTATTAAGAGTTAATATAGATTATACGGGGACAAATAACACATTAACTTTCTAAAACTCCGACCAAAAGATATAAGAAATAGTTGGAGAAAACGTATAATTAAATCATAATCAAAAGAAGTTAAACTTGTTATCCAACAAATACCTCATAACCGAATATGTTGATAATAGCGATACCTGCAAAAGAAAACAAAATATAAATCATAGATACGTTTATAGACCATCTTTAATTTCTTTCTTGAAGAACTTTATTGTGACAAAATATGAAAATTTTAACTAGTGAATGTAAAAATGACATATTAAATACCTGAATTTTAGAGTTTAGAATCTTCAACAACTAAATAAAAATGAGAAGATTAATTTGTGAATAAGTTAGAGTTTTTTTGTGTATAATTCAAAAGATAAGAGAATCCCTCACAAATAAATATAAGTAAGAAGTCAAATCTGTTATGCCTCGAATGCCGCATAACTGAATATGTCAACAACAGTGATACCTGCAAAAGAAAATAAAATATAAATAATAGATAGACGTCTTTATTTTCTTTCTTGAAGAACTTCGTTGTAACAAATATGAGAATTGTGAATGTGAATGTGAAAAAATCTGAACAAAAGTAAAAAGATAATTTGTGACTAAGATAGATTTTTTTTTTTTTTTTTTGTAATTCAAAATAAAAGAGAATTCGCTCACAAATAAATATAACATATGTATAGATTAGGCTGGAACTGCATGTATTAAAACTTTTTTTTCTTTTATAAAAAAAAAAGATCATCAAGAACAAATATTAAAGAATAAAACACCTAAAATACTACTAAACATTCTTCAATAAGATTAATGTTAACCCCCAACCCCAGAAGAAAACATATTTCACTTTTCTAGAAATTTAGATGTTTCAAAATCTTATACACCACAAGGTTTCAAAAGGATGCAAGAACAAAAATTACCGCCAAGAGCAACACTCAGATAGGCAATGGGCCAAGACAAAGTAGTACAACCAACTTAGCCACACCCCTACTATCCGAACCTCTAAACTAATGCCTACTAAGCCACTCTTGCTAACATTAATATATGAACCAAAGATAATCTTCTACACTTACAAGAGAGGCAGCATACCATAGTATTCATGGGATAGAAAAAGGTTGGTATTGTCTATAAATTGGAGATTGGAGACCAAGGATAATTATGAAATTATAATGGCGTATCCAAAGCATATGACATATCAAAAAATAGCTCATTCCATTCGTCCACTTGCTAGTCAACCTAGCACAATCAAGTAACTGAACTACTATGTAACGCCCAAATAATTTCAACATTTTTGTTATTATTTTTATTAATTTTATTTATTTAGTTTAATTTATAATTTAAAAAAAAAGTGCCACGTCAGCAGTTACGTCAGCGGCCCAGTCAGCAGCCCTGACCAATCAGGACCTGCCTCGTGGCAAGACAACGTCGACCAGGGAACGGGCCACGTGGGCGATCCGCCGCGTGCGATCGGAAGGCCCAGATACATCCCCGCACGCACGAACGGCCCAGATTTAATCAAAATGGACGGCTGTGATCAAAACGCAAAAGGGTATAAATAGAACCCCCACACCTAACCACAAAAACTCTAGCCGCCTGCCCTCGCCGGAGAAGACGAACCAGACGCCGGAGGAGCCGGCCGCCGCCACCCGCCGCCGCACCGGGGAGTTTTCCAACCGCCGATCGAGGTAAATTTCATACCCCCGACTCGTTTTTCCATGCTGAGTTCCCCTGTGGCCAAATCGGAGCCAAAATCCAGGCCAAACGGCCGAAAAATACGGCCAAAACCCAACGGCACTGCCGCGCCCCTCCTCGATTTTTGCCCCGATGAGGCCCTTCCCGGCCTCCGTTTGATGCAATTTTTATATCACCGTGATCATCATTCTTTTCTCTACAGGTTGATCGGAGCCGAATCACCAAAACACGAACCTCGCCGGAGAGCCGCCGCACCCGAGAGCACCGTCGCCGGAGCATTACGGAGCCACCGTGCCGGAATTGCGATATTGGCCGAAAGGGGCCCTGGGTCTAATTTGGGATTTTTTGGAACACGTGCAGGTACCAGTAGTGCGTTTCAGTTCCCCGGAAAAATTTCAGGAAAAATTAAGGACAGCCTGTAGGCGCACTGTGGAGCCGTGTTCGGACCCCGAAATGAGTAAAGACCCCTCACCCTATTTTCTATCACGGTATTAAAGTTCAATAATGATAAAACGGTATTTCTTGAATCAATGAATGTGTGAAATTGCTTAGGGTCGCTAATGGAGCCCGAGTCTAGTGTGTTTGTCGGTTAACTGTTATTTGACCTATTTTACAGTTTTAAATGCAGTATGAGGTCTGATGTTTTCATTTCATAATTTCGTGTGCATATTTTACTGTTTTATTGATTATGAGTTGAATGACTGAGAAACCGATGCTGTATGTTGTCTTGTTTGACATAAATTACTGGTTTGCTTGTTTGTGTGTGAATTGATGATGCTGACTGAGGAAAAGGGGAATGAAAGGTTATGTCAATTGATAATTGTATAATGTGATCAGCCTGACTAGATATCCTGGGAGATGGAGGACGGACCGGGTCCGTAGGAAAACCCTACCGGGATTGTGGTCTCTCATACCGGACGGGGTATAGAGACCCTATGTGTTTTGGCGCCCATACCGGACGGGGTATGGGGACGACCCGCTTCACCCTCATACCGGACGGGGTATTGAGGTTTATAGTTTTGGCGCCCATACCGGGACGGGGGTATGGGGACGACCCTGGAATCTGATTACAAGTGTTAAGGGTTCACGGGTAGCGGAACCCCTATGGATCCCCCATGGATACTAGTAGGCTGGTAAAAGAGGAAAAATATGTTGTGTAATGATTGAATTACAAAAGGCGTGATAAGTATTATGTTATACAGTTTATATGATTTCATGATGATAATAATGTTATTACTTTCGTATATTGTTTTATGAATTTCACCGAGGTAAGTGGATGGTAAAGGATTTTATTATTGATAAAAGGATTTGTTGTAAATTATGCTCCATTGGTCTTTTTGTGTTTTCTACCCACTTTTACCTCCGTGACGGTGAGATATTGTGATGTCTTTACTAGGCTAGTGTAGCTCATTCCTTATTTAATCATTTCAGATCAGGAAGACATTGTTCCCGAGCCCGTTCCGCAGGAAGACGACGAAGGGGACGCCTAAAGACTCCATAGTCATATTCATAGCTTTTACTTTCGAGTTTCTCTTTTAGTTAATTTGATCTTTTATATTTTGAGCACGTTTTTGGTTTTAGTGTAAGGGATGTTGATCGAAATTCTGACTTCGCTTCCGCATTTGACATTTTTAATACACATATTTCATTTTAAATTTTCGGGGCGTTACATACTAGGTGAAGGTTAATAAGATCAACCAACAAAGAAGGCTATCACAGTCACTTAATGAACAATGTATCTCTTTAATAATAAGACACCTAAAATAAACCCTTTGACATACTAGTTCAGAATGGGGGAAGCATAACATCTCTTTCTCGTTTCTACACAAAATTAATATTTCAGTCAACTAAATAGTATTTCTTTCCTATTGGAGGCAAGGCAGCTGTTAATAAAAGTGAGCTATTTTTTTTTTTTTCTATCACAACTTCCTTTCTCTTAAACTCTTTGCTCTTTCACTGGGTTAGAGAGTCAAGAGTGTTCATTTGCTGGTAACTTTAACCAACCATTGATTCTCATGGCTTTCTCGCCATAAATGGAAGCCACTCCACATTTTGACATCAGCAATAATCTTTCAAATCTAAAAGATATCACGAAAGTAATATATATCTAGAAGTCATGACCTAAGACAGACATGTTTAGGACATAATTAGCAGAAGAGAAATATCATTAACAAAGCAATAGAAGACAAGATTTAGATGCTTTTCTTTATGGGTTAGTTTTTTGTTCTAAAGAATTTCAATAGATATCTCTAAACTCATGTGTAAACCATTCATACAATTTAAAAAGACCTGCCACATTTCAAAAAGATTAAAAAACAGTCCGATTTACAATATAATTTAGAAAATCTCTAAAAATTAGAGCTTCAAAAGCTTTATTGTGATTTCTCAATGGTTATAATAGCATAAAATGATTAATTAAAAAGCAATATATTTTTTTATACCTGAATGCAAAACATAAAAGTGCGAAAAAACTTTTTGGAGTTTAGGCTGCTTGAGTTCGAATAGTATTCATTCACTGACTATAAACCAAATAGGCAAGGTGTTTAAAATGACACCATAAGTTGGCATCTTACCATCGCAACTACTCATTTGCAACCCTATAGTACCTACTGAGACCCAAGGAAATCGGAGAGAAAAAGATAAAAGAAAAGCAATTTTACATAAAAGAAACATATACCACGATTTAGAAAGGGGAGAGAGCAAGAGAGAGAGAGAGAGAGAGAGAGAGAGAGAGAGAGAGAGAGAGAGAGAGAGAGAGAGAGAGAGAGAGAGAGAGAGAGAGAGAGAGAAAGAGAGAAAGAAAAACAATTTTACATAAAAGAAACATATACCAAGATTTAGAAGGGGAGAGAGAGAGAGAGAGAGAGAAATGGGTAGATGGGCTAGGCTTATTTGGGTATAATTGCTTGTAATAAAAAAGGGCTTGCTTAAGTAGATTTGGACTTTATTTTATGTCCCCTCATAAATTCTTAAATAATGATAGTGAGCTTGATTTTCATCCTAATGACTTTAATTTTCATTGTTGAGCTTCTTGAACTATGAATATTAGAAAGAAAGATAAGACCATTTTTTTATGTCCTATAACAAACAAAAATACTCTAACACCAATTTGTTGGAAATTTAATGGTACTATCATACTCACCAACAAGAGCAAGAGAAAGGAACACAAGTTTTTCTTCAAAATGACTTTTTCATTTCCTTCGATTACATAGTTTATTCAAATAAAGTAGAAGGAGATCATTGAATTAATCATCAATTACAATTTTATTTGATAATCCGCCACAATAATCAAACCATCATTTATAAACATAGGAAGCGCCATTTTGAAATGACAATTTTTTTTTTCTAAAAATATTTTATTTATCTACCATTTTGAGATATACAAAACTAAACTTTTTAATTCTCCGTGAAGTTGTATGCATCGAATTTGAATGAGATTTTTTCTTTAAAATCTCTTTCTAAAATTGACGGTTCATTTAGTAGTCAACAAGGTTCGTCAAATCAATTTCTATTGTCACGATCCAACAAAAAGTCGCTATGACAAGATATTTTTGTAGTCTACTTCTACCATAAATAAGTGTTTTCCAAACTTGATAGCACAAAAAAAGTTTAAAAGATACCCCTTATTTTTTATTACATGAGAGAAAAAATAATAAAAGATTTAAAGTCGCACAAGACAAACTTTTGATATAATAAGTGGTCGAGCTCCTAAAAAGCATAACCAAGCAATCAATATACATCCTATTCGAGCACGAACAAGGCTCCAAGATGCATCTTCAAAAGTGACTTAAGTGAAAAATAATACATTTAGTCTTTGTGTTATTATCTTGATTTACATTTTTATTATAGTTTACTTAATTTTATTTATATTTTATGATAAATTTAAATTCTCATTTATCAATAAAATGATACTAAAATTATATAATTTGAATTAAATATTAAATTAGTTTTAAATTAAAATATTATTTTCATTCAAATTATAATTATATTCTAATTCTTATTTTTTATTATATTTTTACTGTATTCTCATTCATTTTATTTTTAATTATGTCAACGACCATATATATATATATATATATACCAAGAACTTTTAAATAAACCACGGTTGACATTCTATAAAAAAATTTATTACTTCAACCAAATTAAAATTAAAAATCAAGTTTACAAAAATAAAGAAAAACCAAAAGTAATTTTATGATGAATACTGAAAAAAAAAAGTAACGCAGTACTATATATATATCAAGAGATAATAATAGTTCTTTTTCCCAAGAAAGAAAAATTCTATATAGTATAGTTTAAACCGGTATATATATATATATATATATATATATATAGTACCATAATAATAACAGCAGTTATACATATATATATATATATATTTATATGTATATATGACTTAAGAATAAGCCAAAAAAAGAAAACGGAAAACAAAAACGAAACTTGCAGAAGAAGTTTCATGACCTCCGGTGAAGTATGTGGTTGGGAAAGACGGGGGCGGAAGCGATATCGGTACTATCTTGCTCATCGTCATCGTCCTCTCGGGAGAATCTAGGGTTGTGAAGGGAAGAAGGAAGTGTGTCGTTGGTGACGAATCCGCTGTTGAAATTGGAGGTGAAGTTGGAGATGTTGATGAGATTATTCGAGGCGGAAGAATTGTTAGAGTAGGCTGGTTGCATCAGAGCCAGAACCTGTTGCTGTTCATGATGATGTTGTTGCTGCTGCTGCTGTGTGTTTTGAAGCACATTCGCCATTGCCAACCTACTGTTAATCACCTGAGCCTGTACCATTGCTACCTCCGCTTGCAACGACGACACCTGCAACTCAGTCAGTTTTCAGTTCTATTAGTTTCTCTTTTTGTTTCAGATTCAGAGGATTATTTTCAAATTGAGTTGAGCGAAATTCAACTGTGTATATATATATATGTGTGTGTGTGTAATCAATATTCAATTCTACTAATTATTTTACTTCTTGCTTCAAATCCAGAGGTTTATAGAACTCGAATTTCTGATTATAGTCAAATTGACGTAATGAATTACAGAGACGATATCGAAGATTAGAGGTGAGTTGAGTGAAATTCAAGTATATATACATGTAATCAACATTAATTCTCTTAGTTATTTACTTATCGCTTCAAATCCAGAGTTTAAAACCCGAATTTCTA